CATTTTCAGAGATGAGTTAAACATTGAACGCATCTATAAGTGAATGCTTCATAAATGTTCCAGTTATAATACTTATCGGGAAATACGAATACCCAATATTGTTGAATGTTATCTTCAATATCGGGCTCATGTTCACAGCAGCTGTGGGAAACATCTTAATTATTTTCAGTTTTATGCTGGTTTCGTCTATGCGCACAACATCGAACTATGTCCTGTTTGAATTGGCCCTGACTGACCTTTGTGTCGGCCTTATCGTTCATCCATTGTATATACTGGCGTTATATCGAGTTTACAAAAAAAAATTCCTGATTGTAAAATCGTGACTGCCCACAGCATATCGACGACATTTTTTGCTGGTGTCTCTCTGCTATATATTACATTTATTGGGATTATTCGGGATACTCGTCATTCAATCTTTCGATCGCTTTTTGCAAATTAAGACCAATCAACTCGGGAAAGGGTCTTATTTCATTCTCAGAAGTGAGAAATCAGAAGTAAGGGAGTAATCAGGCGCTCGTGCACTAAACTCAATATTATGGTGTATTGTCTTTTTTTTTCCAGCTGATACAACATCCGACAACTAATTAGGCTATGACCCTTTTGCTTTATTTAGCTTCAATCTATTAATTCTTTTCTTTCTCTCTTTCTTTCTATTTTTTTTCCTTTTTCTTCGTCTGTTTTACCTCCGTGGTCTGAGAGAGCGTTTGACCGACTATTGGGCGATAGGAAGAAAAGGTGAAAAACTGTCATTTAATTCTATAATTTCAATGTATTTATTGATTTTTGGTGTGTTAAATGACGTATTTTCTCCAACAGTGGACCTGACCTGCGAGAGGAAAGGAAATGGAATATTTATGATCGGCCGAAGTGCTAGGTGTTAGAGATAATACATAATTGTTAACATAGAAACATTCTCTGCATTAAGTTGAAAGTTAAGAGTATTGTTATTGTATCAGTTACCCATTCTGTGCAAAATTTTTCGGAGACAGTTAGACGTTTCTTTTTAAATCCATTTTAAAGCTCTTGTAGTCTTTCAATTTGATTGGTTTTTAGCAGTGCGATCTACTCATGAACCGCATTATCGATTGTTTCCTCTAAATCGTATCTTTTCTTGTTTTGCAGGCGAGGAAGAACTTCGGGAACACCAAAACATAACAATCAATCGCATTTCAGCATTTCTTTTTACCCCTTAGTCAGTGGTGGCGACCAAACTCCCACGATTTAACACTTAAACTACATTATTTCAAAAGAGTCTAAAAAAGAGAGGAATTGAGCGTTGTTTAGTGGTGCAATTTTGATGTAACATTATACCTCTTTTATAATTCGCTTATCACTGCCGTGAGACAA